TGAGAAATTTCACAATTCCAGGGGCTTGGATTGGGGAGAAAAACCAAAATTTTGGTTAAAAACAGAAATTTCACAATTCCACAGCACTAAATGGGGAAAAAAACCAAAATTTTGGTTAAAATGAGAAATTTCACAATTCCAGGGGCTTGGATTGGGGAAAAAAACCAAAATTTTGGGTAAAATCAGAAATTCCACAATTCCAGGGGCCTGGAATGGGGAGAAAAACACAAATTTGGGGTAAAAACAGAAATTCCACAATTCCAGGGGGCCTGGAATGGGGAGAAAAACACAAATTTGGGGTAAAAACAGGAATTTCACAATTCCAGGGGCCTGGATTGGGGAGAAAAACCAAAATTTTGGTTAAAAACACAAAAAATTCACAATTCCACAGCACTAAATGGGGAAAAAACCCAAAATTTTGGTTAAAATGAGAAATTTCACAATTCCAGGGGCTTGGATTGGGGAGAAAAAACAAAAATTTGGGTAAAAAACCCAAAAATTCCACAATTCCAGGGGCCTGGAATGGGGAGAAAAACACAAATTTTGGTTAAAAACAGAAAAAATTCACAATTCCAGGAGCATGGATTGGGGAGAAAAACCAAAATTTTGGGTAAAAACAGAAATTTGGGAATTGCAGAACCCAGAGGGACCCAAAAATGGGAAATTTGGGGAAAAAAAAAAGGGAATTTTGGGGTGGAAAAAGATGAATTTTGGGATTTAAAAAAAAAAGGGGATTTTTGGGGTGAAAAATAAGGATTTTTGGGATAAAATGAGGAATATTTTGGGATAAAAAAGGAAAATTTTTGGGATATAAAATGAGGATTTTTTTGGGCTGAAAAAAGAAGATTTTAGGATAAAAAGGGGGAATATTTTGGGGATAAAATGGGGATTTTTTGGGATAAAAAAAGAGAATTTTTTGGTGTGAAAAAGGAGAATTTTTAGTGCGAAAAATGAGAATTTTGGGGTGAAAAGGGGGGATATTTTTGGGATAAATGAGGAATATTTTGGGATAAAATGAGGAATATTTTAGGGATAAAAAATGAGAATTTTTGGAGTAAAAAATGAGAATTTTGGGATGAAAAGGGGGGATATTTTCGGGATAAAATGAGGATTATTTTGGGATAAAATGAGGGATATTTTTGGGATAAAATGGGGATTTTTTGGTGTAAAAAACGAGAATTTTTGGGGTTAAAAAAGAGGATTTTTTGGTGCAAAAAATGAGAATTTTGGGATGAAAAAGTGGGATATTTTTGGGATAAAACGAGGAATATTTCTGGGATAAAATGAGGAGTATTTTGGGGATAAACGAGGGATATTTTAGGGATAAAATGGGGATTTTTTTTGTGTAAAAAATGAGAATTTTGGGTTTTTTGTGACTCACCTCCCCGGCCCCGGCCAGGTGAATATTGGGATAAATGAGGGATATTTTAGGGATATAAAATGGGGATTTTTGGTGTAAAAAATGACAATTTTGGGGTTTTTTGTGACTCACCTCCCCGGCCCCGGCCACGGCCGCCCCCGCCCCGGGTGAAATCCGCACGGCGAGTGGCGAAGGAAACCTTGATGGGATTGCCAGAAAATTCCTTCCCTGGAAAACGGGAAAAATGGGGAAAGAATGGGGGAATAATGGGGAAAAAAGAGGAAAGAATAGGGAAAAAAATGGGAAAAAATGAGGAAAAATGGGGAAAAATGGGGGGAAAAATGGGGAAAAAAATGGGGAAATAATGGGGAATAATGGGGAAAAAATGGGGAAAAATGGGGGGGAAAAATGGGGAAAAAATGGGGAAAAAAAAGGGAAAAAAATGGGGAAATAATGGGGAAATAATGGGGAAAAATAATGGGGAATAATGGGGAAATAATGGGGAATAATGGGGGAATAATGGGGAATAATGGGGAATAATGGAGAATAATGGGGAAAATAATGGGGAAATAATGGGGAAATAATGGGGAAAAATGGGGAGAAAATGGGGATAAAATGGGGAGAAAAGAGGAAAGAATAGGGAAAGAAATGGGGAAAAAATGGGGGAAAATAATGGGGAATAATAGGGAAAATAATGGGGGAATAATGGGGAAATAATGGGGGAAAAATGGGGGGAAATGGGGAAAAAAAGGAGGAAAAATGGGGAAAAAATGGGGAAAAAATTTGAGGAAATGGGAGAAAAAATGGGGAAAAATGGGGAAAGAATGAGGAAAAAAATGAGGAAAGAAATGGGGAAAAATGGGGGAAAAATGGGGATTTTGGGGTTCTAATTAATGAATCGTTAATTAATAATTAATTATTTTCATAATTGACCATCAAACCAGTCAATGGCCGCCTTGGCCGAGGGGCCATAAATTGAGGATTTTGGGGCTATAAATGAGGGATTTGGGGTAATAAATCAGGGATTTTGGGGCTGTAATTAACAGATCATTAATTAATAATTAATGAATTAATGAGCTGACCATCAAACCAGTCGATGGCGGCCTTGGCCGAGGGGGGGTCGTCGAAGGACACGGTGGCCTCGCCCTTGAGCTTGCCGGTCTCACGGTCGGTGTAGAGATTGATCATGGGCTGGCCGGTCTTCTTATTGGTCTGGGTGAGCACA